GGACCCTGTTTTAGAGAACTGCCCATACTCTCTCGCTACCCGGAGGTCGCTTCTGAAAACGAGATGATCTCGGCGGCTTCATCGGCCTCCCGGGGTCGCACAAAGGCCGTGTTTTTTTTTTTTTTCGTTTTTTTGGCACCTCAGAGAGTCCGGCTTCAAAAGGGGGCAGGGGGTTTGGGCGATGGCACAAATCTTGATGCAAAAAGTCCTAGTTTGGCTGAGAGTTGGGATTCAGGTCTTGCTGCTTCCAGCCTGGTTGAAACACGGTTTACAGGTTTCTGACTCGAATCTGGGCATGCCAAACCCTCAGTGAGCACTGAATCGCTGATTATTTTTGCGTTGCCGGGGTGGGCAAGCTGATTGAACCCTGAGCATGAGACCCTAAATTTTTGCTGACGCAGAGAGGCCGTGTGGAAATCGTAGGAATTGGACACTGCGTGGAAGCCTTGCCTACTCTGTGCGAGTGTGGGAGTCGATACCCTTGCCGAAGTTGATCCCCTTCGATAGCGATGTATCCTCCGCCTTGCGCGGATTCCGAAGGCAAGCAAGCAAGCAAGCAAGGACTCTCAACTAAAATGCTCGTGCTGTGTTTTGGGCTTGAGGTTTTTTTGTGTGTCAGGTTTCGTCCTTTCATCCAGAGTTTGGCTCACGCAAGGAACGAATTGGAAAGCCGTAATGCCTGCCCCTGTTCTGGCCGCTGGCACGCGTGATGGAGGCAGTAACAAGTCGGAACCGTTATGGAAGCTTCACTGTTCTGCTTGTCCAAGTCATTTACAAGAAGCAACGAACACTTGTATGCTTGCCGTAGTCAACCTTGATACAGGAGAGGAGAATGACCCGAACCAAAAAGCACCAAACCTCTGAACTCTGAGGCCGAGCTCCTCCAAAACGAACTCCCGAGCCCAAAACCCTCAAACCTCGAACCCTGAACCCTAAAACTTCAAACACCTTCGATCGCAAGTTCAGACAGTGAAGGCTGCGAGATCTGCCGCGGCCACGCTGCCACAGGTTTTCTTTTGGACGAAGGACGGCACGAGGGTCCTTTTTTTTGTTGGCGGCTTCTAGGTTATGACTGATCAATGTTGATTGCTTTCTTGTTGGCTCGATTAATCTCAGACGAATATGCATGCTTCCAAGCCGCCCGAACTCGACGGCCTCTATACACCACATTCTTAAAGCCTCTGAGAAGGATCTCCCCATTCATGAGGGAGAAACAGCTCAGCATGGGTTCACACACTCCATGTGTAGGTCTTCGGATGTCGGAGCCTCGACTGTAGGGGCCGGAACTGATGAGAAGGGGGGTAACATCATAGTCTTATCATTCAACTAACCACTTGTTTGGGGCCTATACCCGGGTTTTGCGATGACAAGTTGTTCAGGCCTCTATATGGGTGCTTCACTCCGAACAACATCCACCCCTCTGCAGCCACATGGGCAGGAATCTTGAATCACTCAGCCGACGACCGTCCGAAACCCTAAACCCTAAACCCTAAAACCCTAAACCCTAAAACCCTACACCCTCAACCCTATAAACCGTAACCATTGCGCCAAAACCAGAAGCCTAAGCTCCCTAACTAAACCCTACACGCAAGCTGGAAAGCCCTAAACCATGACACCCGGTATCGTCGCGGAGGAAGTGTCTCCTTCCGGGATTGCTGCTTGCCTTCAATGAGTCTGATGAGTGCTGTGCAGCACTCGTCTACGACCAGACATCACTTTACTTTCAAGGTTTTTTGTCGCTGCTGGCACATCAGGATCTCGACAGCAAAGGTCTGAGAATCTATTGAATGTAAAACTCTGCTGAAGCGCTGACCCCGCAAAAGAAGCGTGAATACGAGTAAAGATTGAGTCTCTAACCACAAAGACTGGCAATACGACTTGCGAAAGCTAGTATGTCACAGGTGTGCATCCGGATTTGTTTTTTGGTGTAAGAGTTGGAGGGTTTAGGGTCTAAGGGGCTTTTTGGATGAGGACCTTCGGAGCCCTAAACCCTAAACCCTAAACCCTAAACCGGACTTCGGATTTGGGGTTTCAGGCCTTGGGCTTCCGAGTTTAGGATCCGGGGTCCGAGGATTTCGCAACCTCTCCCGGTTCATCTCCTGTCTTTGGATGTCTTTGGAGGGTTTTAGGGGTCTAGGGGCTCATAGGGTTTAGGGTTTAGGGTTATCCTAAACCCTATACCCTAAACCCTAACTTGGAGGCTCGCTGTCAAGTAGGATAGCGACAAGACAATGGATATTCCCTATGCTTGTGCAC